CAAGATGATTCCTGTCTCATTGCTTACAACCTAGCCTTCCCGGGAAGGTCTGCCTTTCCGTCACAATGGGGCATCCTAAAAGTACCTATCAGCTAAAGCTTTCACCACTACCCCCATGGTATAAAATGTCCTGGTTTTCTCTCAATATTGGAGCTGGATCACTAGGAGCTAGGAGCTGAAACACTGAGACTTGGAGCCGAGCTGAGTCACTGAATAAAGAGCTGTAACACGGATTAAGCTGAATCCTGTGTCTCACTGCCTATGATCCAGTCTCTCCAGGGGGCGATATCCTTCCGTCATCGACTCACGGAGACCTAGCTTTAGCTGCCTCCTACCTCTCCTTGTGACCCAGCAGCTGACGGGTCCCGAACTCAGAGAGAGAGAGAGAGCACAGGGTGAAATTAGGGAGGAACTCGGCCGGGCAAAGCCCCGACAGCAGAGACTTTCAGCACTCAAGCGGCGGACAGCGACACGGGACGCGACCAGACCTGCCTATCCTCCAGGTGCGCAGCGGAGATGCAGACGCCCGCGGGACCCGCCTCGCCATTCCGGCTGCACGCAGGGGCCCCGAGATCCCTGCGCGCCCCATAGCCAACAACTGCAAATAACTCCTCAGGTAGTGGTGGGGCCTCATGAGATCCCTCCCACACCTGTGGTGGAAGTTTCACTGGCTTAATTTTGTGCAGGGTAATCTCAGCGGCTGTGAGACCAAGAGTACAAATCATGCCCAGAAGACAGCATTAAACAGAATTCCCCATCTTCTAGCTTGGCTCTTATATTCTTTAACTCCTCTCTTCTACGATACTCCCTGACCCTTGAGATGGAGGAGGACTGATATAGAAGTTCCATTTAAGGGTTGAGTGGTCCCAGTGTCACTTATTTTCAGCCCCTTGACCAGTTATAGACTGTATTATCCACTGCCCACTGCAAAATGAAGCTTTTCTGACCAATGTTGAGAGCAGCACTAATCTATGGGCATAAACATAAATATTTAGAAGGCAGTTTGACAACATGACTATTTAACAAAACAGTAATAGTAGTTTTCACCCTAGGGCTTAGGACCTCCCCTGTGATGGGCTTTTGATCAGGTTTACAGTACCAGGTATAATTCTTTCCTGTGGTGCAGGCCTTAAATCTAGTGAGAAAGCAGTTTGTTAGCACTATGACCTTCATGCCACTATTGCACAAGTGGGCACATCTTTCCAGCAAGTCAGTATTGTAGCATGCAAAGTTTAGCACTACATAAGACTACCAATAAACCCCACCCCAACATCCTGCATAGTGTCTTCTAGCACCAAGAAATGTAGCCAGCAGACTTTCCCAGTCGATTACAGGCTGATTTCTCTAAGACCTGCAACAGAAGTGTATGGTGTCTTCAGCAAAAGGGTCTTACCTTCTAGTTTTCTAGTTATGGTTGGTGATTAAAAGCAACAGCAATAGCCTGTTGTTTAGGGGATCTCTGGGACTTCGCTGACCAACCACTCAGAGGTATCCCATGACTGGCACTGGCATTTTCATTTAATAACACATGCCTTCTGCCTATGTCCACTCATGAAGGGTACTGCTGCTCATACTTTTTAAAAAAGTCGCATTTTTACATGAGCTAACAAAGCAGTGTGTTTCCATAAGGCTTTTTCATACCCTTCTGACCCTATCGTCACTTAAACCTTTAACCCCCCACCATCAATCAGCTTTTGCTTCACTTCTTTTTATCATTATTATCAGTCCATGCATCTCACAAAAGAATGGTATAGGAACCAGTCAATGATTCAGACGGAATCCTGTTTTCAGTTGCATGCTTTGGGGCTGGAGCTTTATGAAGCCGTTTTGGCAGTGGGCTCCTTCTCTCCCTGCTGCACATCATTTGCTTCTTCCTTATTAACACACACACTCTGTTTCATGTCAGGGTGGGTGACACTACCAGTTGTCCAGTTCAGTTCTTCCTCTGTCACACAGATTTGTTGCCTTGTTGAGCTATTGGTGTTATGATCCCTGATCTTAGGGTGGTTCTAACTTTGCTTTTTCAGTGGAGAGTGTTTAACATAAAACACATGTTCTGTTCTTGGCAATCATTTCATATGTTATTAACTCCTGTAGTGCTGCATGGACACATTAATGGTAGAAAGGGGCTTGCTTCCCTTTTAAAATACATATTGACTCTTCTCTGAAAGGAATTTTCCACAAATACAGAAAAACCTTCAGGCAGATGGCTTTTCTTTTCATTTGCAAAAGAATCATAGCTATTTGGATTAAATTTAAAGAAAAAAGGGGGAGGGAGACCAAACAAAACTAGGAGTAAAATTATAACATCAGGGATGTAGGTCTGTGGTAGAGTGCTTACCTATATGGGCAAAGGTCTGGGTTTTATTAACAGTATCACAGAAAGAAGAAAATCATGATAAAATGTGTCAGATTAGATTGTGGCAAAAATACCTAAGAAAGTCAACTTTAAAGGAAAAATCTGGTTTATGTTCATCAATTCAGAGTTTCAGTTTATGGTGGGTCATCTCCATTGTTTCCAGACAGCAGAGAAAGGAAGTGGCCAGGGTCCAAACGTCAACTTCAGAGGCATTCCCCAAGTAACCCAACTGTCCCCTCCTGGGCTCCTAAGGCTGTGACCATATCCTAATATTGCCACAGGCTGGTGACTAAACCTATTTCAAAAAGTTTTTGTAGGGGTGGGAGAGAGATGGCTCAAGTAGTTAAGAGTAAGTACTGCTCTTGCAGAGGACCAGAGAGAGAGGGTGGGGGGAAACATAAAAGAGAAAACTTTTGGAGGGCACTTCAAAGTTATAGCAATACAGTTTAGAAATTGACTTACTTTTCAAAGTAATAAAAGATGTTAAAAATCAAGATAGGAAGCTTTTCACAACAGGTTTGCTATCAGAACACAGGTGTTATGAAAACCATTGCTAACTTGAAGCCAAAATGGGAAAGAAAAAGACATCAATATTGTGGTCATTGGACACAGAGATTCGGGCAAGTCCACCACTACTAGCCATCTAATCTACAAATGTGGTGGGATTGACAAATGAACCACTGAAGAATTTGAGAAGGAGGCTGCTGAGATGGAAAAGGCTCATTCGAGTGTGCCTGGTCTTGGACAATGTAAAGCTGAGGAGTATGGTATCACTATTGACATCTCCCTGTGGAAATTTGAGACCAGCAAATATTATGTGAGTATCATTGATGCCCCAGGACACAGAGACTTCATCAAAAACTTCATTACAAGCACATCTCAGGCTGACTATGCTGTCCTGATTATTGCTGCTGGTGTTGATGAATTTGAAGCTGGTATCTTCAAGAATGGAGAGACTAATGAGCATGCCCTTCTGGCTTACAACTGGGTATGAAACAGCTTATTGGTGGTGTCAACAAAATAGATTCCACTGAGTCCCATACATCCAGAAGAGATACAAGCAAATTAAGGAAGTCAGTTCCTACATTAAGAAAATTGATTACAACCTGACACAGTAGCATTTGTGCCAATTTCTGGTTGGAATGGTGACCACATGCTGGCTCCTAGTGCTAATATGCCTTGAATCAAAGGATGGAGAGTCACTCATAAGGGTGGAGGTGCCAGTGGGACCACACTTCTGGAAGCTTTGGACTGTATCCTACCACCAACTCATCCAACTGGCAAGCCTCTGCGACTGCCCTTCCAGGATGTGTACAAAATTAGTGGTATTGGTATTGTCTCTGTGGGCAGAGTGGAGACCAGTGTTCTCAAACCTGGCATGGTGGTTACCTTTGCTTTAGACAATGTCACAACTGAAATAAAGTCTGTTGAAATGCACCATGAGGCTTTGAGTGAAGCTCTTCCTGGGGACAACGTAGGCTTCAATATAAAGAATGCTGTCTGTCAACAATGTTTGATGTGGTAATGTTGCTGATGACAGCAAAAATGACCTACTAGTGGAGCTGACTTCACTGCTCAGGTGATTATCCTGAACCATTCAGGCCAAATTAGTGCTGGCTGTGTCTCTGCACTGGATTGTCACAGAGCTCACATATCTTGCAAGTTCACTGAGCTTAAAGAAAAGATTGATCACCGTTCTGGTAAGAAGCTGTAAGTCAGTCCCAGATTTTCGAAATCTGGTGATGCAATCATTGTTGGTTCTAGGCAAGCCCGTGTGCATTGAGAACTTCTACTCTTTTATTCTCCTCTGGGTCGTTTTACTGTTCATGACATGAGGCAGACAGTTGCTGTGGGTGTCATCAAAGCCGTGGACAAGAAGGCTGCTGGAACTGGCAGTCACCAAGTCCGCCCAGAAAGCTGAATAAATATTATCCCTAATACCTCCCACCCCAGTCTTTCTTAAAAAGTGGTGTAAGAACAGTCTCAGAACTGTTTGTCTCAACTGGCCATTTAAGTTTAATAGTAAAAGACTGGTTAATAATAACAATGCATTGTAAAACCTTCAAAAGAAAAGGGGAATGCGGGGTGGGCACTGTAGAGCTGTGTGTGTGTGTGTGTGTGTGTGTGTGTGTGTGTGTGTGTGTGTGTGTAGCAGTTTTAAGTTATTAGCTTGTAGAATCAGTGCTTTTTAATAGAACAACTTGACCAAAAATCTGTCACAGAATTTTGAGACCCATTAAAACAAGTTTAATGAGAAAAAAAAAAAAATTAGAGCTAGGAAATCATTTAAAACATTTCTCTTTAAACGTATGCAGGTAACTTCTGTTTTTAAATACCACTTTAATAGTTTGGATCTCCATAACATTCTGTGAAAACACATTAAGTTATTCACAGGTTCAGCATATCTCTAGCTGAAAAGGAACTTAGTATTATTGAAGAGACTACTGCTTTTCATAAAGGAGACCTTACATCTTAAATTGTGTTTCATCATATATTATCCAGACTTAGCAGTAGAAAAAAGTATTCATTGCAGAGTATCTTATAATTTTATATGATTGATAGTCTTCTCCTAAAAACAAATAAATTGCTCTTCCCAATAGAAGTTAAGAGACCAAAAGCATACTAAAAATACTTTATTGCCAATGCTACATGAATTAAATACACATTTTAAATGAGATGTACCATCCAGAGTGAAATATAGTACATTCATTATGATAAAAGAAAAAGATAACTCACATTTAACAAAAGAATGGTTTTCAAATACTATAGTATGTTAATTTACATGTTCCGTAAGTATTCTATAGTTTTTCTGTTAAATAAAGGAGATTAAATATTGTGAAAAGTTTGAAGAGTTTATATGCTGGATAGTCTTTAAAAAGAGAAAACATTAGCATCCTGGAATAATTTTAATTCCCGGCCCATTTTCTGCCCACTGGAAAAAATTACATTGTTTTTCTTTCTCAAAAGGACACACAAAAAATTTCTTTCCATTATTAGGTCCAGTCTTCAGCACTGTTCTCATGATGGAGCGCTTGCCATGTTTGCAGAATGGGAAGGACAGGTCTGCCCACTAGGGAAGAAAGGATAAGACTAAAAAGTATAGACAGAAGTTACAATGATGAACAAACAAGACCAGCCTCATCTGATGCGACACCTGTTTCACTGCTATGATTATTAATTTGACATTTGTGAAACAGACATGCCATTAGTTGCTGCCCTAAAAAATTCATATATTTAAGAAGCATTTCATTTAAAATTCTGTTTGAATCATATAATACACTGTCCAAATTCCTAGTTTATCTTTATATAAAGGCAAGTAGAGTTACTTTCTTTTATTTGGAGTAACTGAAAATTATCAGAACCTTGATATTATGCAATCACCAGTGTCCCAGGTATATGTCTGTTTTAGTTAAAATATTATCAAATATTTGTAATAATTGTAATACTAAATTCTGTTGGTCTCCCAGGAAAAGAAAGAACCCAATAGGAACTTACCCAGACTGAAGGCAGAGCCTCCTTTATTCTCAGTAATTTTGTTTTCAAGAGAGGAATGAAAGGAGTTGTAACAGCAACATAAAATCTTAATAATATTTTCCCAGTATTCTTAAAAATGGTCCTTAAGGAAATCTATGGGTTTAATATGATAGAACCACATCTTAAATGTAAGACCTAAAATCATCAAATTTAACCGGGGAACATCCTTATGAAAGTTTGCACACTGAATATAGATATTTTATTTCTCAAGAAGCCAAACCAGGATATTTTTGCTCCAGAATTGAAACAGATCAATATTTTCTTTTTTTTCCATTAGACACTATATGAAGTGTAGCTAGGAAAAATGTGTATTTTTAAACATTAGACTTACACTCAGCGTGGTAAGTCTCTCACTGAAGAATGCAGACAAGGAGACTGACTAAAGGAACTCGATTCCTGTTTCCTATATCAAATTTGTTTTCAGGGCAAAATCTATACACCAAAAATAGCACGAGATTAACAGGTGCCATCATTTTTTTTTTCAGGTTACACTTGTAGGATTCACCAAGGTTATTACAAACCAAAGGCATTTCAAGGATTATACACTGTTTTTCTCATGTACTCAAAATTAAGTCAAAGGTTTTTTTATGTGAATAACTGTTTTGCCTGCATATGTGTACCATGTGTATACAGTGCTTGAAGAGACCAAAAGAGGGTGCTGTATCCCGCGGAACTGGATTTACCCAAGGTTGTTAGTCCTGGAGGAGTAGCCAGGGCTCTTAACCACTGAGCCATCATCCAGCCCCCACGTCAAAGATTGAGGATGAACAAATTCTTATTTTGGACTATGAACCACATGAGTACTTTTAATATTTCTTAAGTCATTTGTGCCCAGAACTCATTACATATCCCAGTCTGGTCTCACACACAAGATTCTCCTGCCTCAACTTGCCAAATACTGGGATTACAAGTGTGAATTATACCTGGCCTCCATATCTATCATTGTGAATTAAGAACATTTTTATACTTGTGATTACAAATATGAAACTCTCTAGTGATATAATAGCTGTTTTATTATTAAAGTTATTTATTGACACTCTCTGAATTTTAGATTATTTAACATCCAGACAGAATAGACAGAACACTAATGTACTCAATAGCTTCAGTTGTTAACTTGACACATCTGGGAAGCAGGACCCCTCCATTAGGAATTTCCTCTATTGGACTGGCCTGAGGTATGTCTATGAGGCATTTTCTTCATTGGTAAGAGACATGGGAGGGGGAGGGCCCAGCCCACTGTGCATGGTGCCACCCCAGCCAGGTGGTCCTGGGTTGTATAAGAAAGCAGGCTAAGCACAGGTCAAAGGAACAATTCAGTAAACAGCATTCCTCCATGGTCTGTGCTTCAGGTCCTGCCTCCAGGTTCCTGCCCTGGCTTCCTTCAATGATGAACTGCAATTGGGATGTGTAAGCCAAATAAATCTTTTCCTCTCCACGTTGGTTTTGGTCAGAGAGTTTTACCACAACAAGAGAAACTAAACTAGAAGAAGTAATGTGGCTATTTAAAATGGAAAGGTAAATCCAGGTATATACTGGTGTATGCCCTTAATCGCAGCACTTGGCAAGATACTGTTTCAAATAAATAAATAAATAAAAAGTAAACAAACTGCTATTTATTACATTGTAATAAGCAAAATCCAGTTGCACTATAGTAAGCACGGTAAAAATTTCACATACCTTAAAAAATTCACATTGTGCTTCTCTGGGTAGAGGACAGGCATAAAATTGCCTCCCCTTGTTCTCACCTTCCTTCCTCACAACTCGGAGAGCACAAAGACGGTTGTGTTTCCTGCACCGAGGATTGCCAGCATTTAAGGAACAAGAGTCATCTGGCATAGTCTGGAGTTCACTGTGATAACACATTACAAAATAACAGCAGTATAACATTAATAAAGGATCATGCATGCCATGTCACCACAGCCACTTGGAATTACAGCTATACCAAGCACTTCCACCAAACGGTGGGCCATGATCAACATTAGCCCATTACACTTGCCTTTTGTTTCCTCTGGTAATGGTAATTCACTTCTAAAGTCACCATGTGCCTAAAGCACAAAACTGAAACTTTCAAAGTATCTACTATATTGTGTTTTCTTAAATTTTCATTTCTGATACTCAGTTCTTCCCTTACCAAGTATTACAGTATATTCCCTTTTATTTCCTCTAAGATATTCTCTAGTCTTTCAGACCTCTGGGAATGTGTTCATATGAACTTGCAACAATGGTGACAGCCTGCGGACTCAATAAGACAAGGACCAGAACAGAAGTGGAGAAATGGGCAGCAGGCCCCAAACTTGGCCCAGGAACTATTGGCAACTGATTACTGAGGGGTGAGGAAGAGTTGATATTTGTTATGGGAGTGACTCCAGATAGACTGACTAGACTGCAGTGGATGAACTTGCACGGAGAGACATTTGGGTACAAATGCTTGCCTAGAAAGGCCTTAATATGTATGACAGAATGCATGAAACCTGTGGGCAGGCTGTGGGGGAGGGGTGTAAATAGGGGAAGGGGTCTAAATTTGATTAGGATCTGTTGTATGAAATGCACAAAAACTCAATAAAAATAAAATACAGAGTATTTGGAGAGCGTCCCTAAACACAGTGAACAAAGTCCAGGAGTCAGCCTTGATCTTTAGCTATATAAAGTTTTCTTCTTGGAAAAAAATATAGGTTCATTATTTTTAATTTTCCGTATCTTGCCCATTTTTTTTTTTTTTTCAGGGTCTCCCTAGTCCCAGCCTGCCTGGAAGTCACTATGTGGATCAGGCTGGCCTCAATCTCACAGAGATTTGCTTGCCTCTGCCTCCTGAGGGCTGGGATTAAACACATGCACTGCAACTAGGGCAGAGCTTGCTACATTTATATAGACTTTTAATTAACCAGTTCAGAGAAAAAGTGTTAACAGTAATAAAACAAGCCATGAGGACCCAGTGACAGATCGATGTGCTTGGCATGTGCAAGACAGGTGTGATGGTGTGATTGCCAGCAACAAAACAATCCAAAACAACTGTAAAAATAAAAACCAAACAACAAAAAGTATCAGAAGTCCTTTCTCTTGATGTCCTTATTTTTTATCATTTTTTATTTTAATTGTTTTTTGGTTTTTTTTTTTTTTTTGGTCTTTTTGAGACAGGGTCTCCCTGTAGCCCCAGCTGGCCTGGATTTGCTCTAGAGACCAGGCTGGCCTCAAACTCACAGAGATATTTTTTATTGTTTTAATAATAAAATAGTCTGTTTTTCACTTTGTGGGAAATTTCTAAAGAACAAAATAATTTTTTAAAATACCTAAAAAGCAGAAGCATCTTCCCTTCCACTTGGCTTCCTAGACGACATTTTTCACACATTGTTTCTATAATGATGCCTCAAGGCAGCATATCTGTATCTAATTGAAACGCTCTTATAATATCATCTTTTACTAGTGATGAAATTGGTTTAAACTCCTTTGTAAAAAAGATGACTTCATATATTACTTTAAAAATATTTGTTGGGATAGACTTAATCTAAGGGCTTAAAAACAAACTGTTCATATAGCAACCATTGAAAGTAAGTAAAGGCATTGGATATTATCCAAGGATATTATCATTAAATGTGTTATCTGTAATGATTTTGTTGTTCCTCTTTTCAAGGGTGGTTGGTGGAGGATATCTTATAGTGATGGCTTATACCAAATCAGAAATATAAAAGCCAAGAGGCACCAAATGGCCTTTTGTTTCCCATAATTGTTCCTTGCATCATGAGATAGAGGCCAGGACAGCCGGGTATACCTAGAGACCTAGAGTTCCAGGCCAGCTGGGACTACAGGAAGACCCTGTTTCAAAAATAAAAAAAAATAAAATAAAAAAAAGAGGGAGAAACAAAATGAAGATGTTAAGAATATTAGTAGAAATAAATGAATGTGGGTTATTAAAATATACACACATAAATACATCATTTTATATATTATTTTGCTGGTGTCTAGCTTCTCAGGATGTTGAAACAAGAGCGCAAGTTCAAGGCTAGCCTGGGTAATCTTGCTAGATCCTATCTTAAATGAAAAAAGGAAGGGCTAGGGATATAGCTTAGTGGAGTGTGTGTGTACTGTGAACAGGGCTTTAGCTGCAACACCTAATACAGGAAAACAAAACAAATCAAAACACCAAAAACATAGCTTTATATATTATTTTTAAGTTGGCTGGCTTTGGTAACATTTAGTTCAACACTTCCTAACCTACTCCCCCTAACTTTTAACTCAAAATTTCATAAATGTAAAAAGATATAGATTAGTTAGGTCTGAAGCTATTCTGAGAAGTCTAGTGTTGGAGGACAGAATTAAAGGGGAGAGACTTCAAAGTCTCGCCTCTGCTTCAGTTCTGTCTGTGTCTCTCTTGGTGTTAAGCTAAAGCAAAAGCTAGTCATGTGCTGTCTTAGCCTTGATATCCAGAGTGTGTTCTGCTGACTTAAAACATTAACATCATCCTGGGGCTCTTTAGACATACCAAATTATCTACCCTTCCTCCAAATCCCTGTGGAATCAGACTGTTAACAAGATTCCCAGGTGATTCATATGCACATTAAGTTGAGAAGCACTGAGTTAATATAGCCACGTTACTGGGTGCCACCTGTGATCACAACAGCTCTAAATATGCACAGCTAACCTTAATTTTATGATAGAAAACATTATCCAGGCTAATTAAATGTTCTGCTTAATTGAGGATATCTTGATTCCTTTTTGTTTCAATCATTATTTAAAAACTTTCTAAAGTGTAGTGGAGCATTTCCCTAGGTAAATTTAGCACAGAAAATAGTCTAACTCATTTTGGTGATTAGGCTCACCATTTGGTTATGACATAAGTGGCATAGTAAAATAATAGCCTAGAACTTGGCAAAACCTTTTCAGACACATAGGCTGTGGGTCTCTGCGGCAACTATTCAATTCTGTTGTTTGTAATACAAAATAACTAAACAAATGGAAATGAAACTTGACACAAACAGCTGTTAGGCTGGATCTGCCTGTAGTTTGCTGTGTAGACGTCATCAGAATCAAAGAATCAGAGACAGATAAAACTAGAGACAGATAAAACTACTTTCGAGAAGATAGTTGATTTAATTATACTAAATTTACCACCTGGAAATATTTTTGGCATAATCCAACTGAATGTCGATTTGGTCATTCAAGATTATCTCAAAGACTAAAATAAACAGAAATTAACTGATTCTAGATGGTCTGGTTCTAAAATTCTGAGGCACTGAGAACTCCAAGAGTCAATCCAGAAACCAGTGCAAGGTATCAGTCATTAGTACCTGCACTTGAATTTAGAAGTAAGCTTTCCAGTCAGCTGATGGCAACAAACAGGAAAATGTGAATGATTTTGATAGCATCCTTCCACTCTTCTATGTGACCCTTTGTATCATGTTCATCCTAGAACCTGGGCTTTCTTGAATATGTATCATCACATCCCTGTTTAAAATAACTGGGTAAATGATGAAACCTATTCTTAGTAGCTGTTACTAACTGCTTAAAAATGGTTTACGTGGGCTGGACAGAGAGCTTAACAGTTAAGAGCACTTGCTGGTCTTCCAGAGGATCTGGTTCCCAGGGCTCACATGGCAGCTAACAACCATCTCAAACTCCAGACTTCAGTGCCAGGGGATCCAATGTCCTCTTCTGGCCTCTGTGGGCACTGTACGACACATGTGCACTTATATACATGCAGTAAAAAAAAAAAAAATTCATGCACATTAAATAAAAATTTAAAAATAATTTTTAAAAAGTCGGTTCAGTTGGCCAAGTGTGGTGGCACACACCCTTAATCCCAGCATCCAGGAGGCAGAGGCAAGCAGATGTCTGTGAGTTCAAGGCCAGCCTGGTCTACAATAGTGAGTTCTAGGACAGCTGGGACTACAGGGAGACCCTATCTCAAAAAGGCCAAAAAAAAAAAAAAAAAAAAAAAAAATTGGTTCAGTTATCTAATTCGTAATCTGATAACTGGAAAACATTCAAATATATGTAAAGACCAATCAAAAAATAAGCCTCATTAACATAACATGTATGTGGTGCCAGTGAGATCAGTAATTACGAGAACAAAAGCCAAATTAATTACCCTCTAATTATTAAAGAAAAATAAACTGGCTATAAATTCTAAGTGGGCCACCTGCTTTAATAACATTATGGGGTGAGCCTCTGCTAGGCATCTTGTCCACAAGATGAACACTCTAGCTGCCAGACAAGGAGAAAAATGAAATAAATGACAGTAATTTGCAATTTATTCCTTATAAAGTCACTGGGTGCAGAAGGGCTACTGGGTGAATTTATCTCATCACTTGACATTTATTCTGCTGGTTGATTTTGATTGATTGTGGACTCTGTCCTGGTGCTTCTCTCTTCAGCACAATACACATGGCTGCAGCATTTCTAAGTAATGTTGTGCACTGTGATTAATCATATGATTCCACTGCTAATGGTTATGAAGAAATCATTTAAATTTAAGGTTACATTAATGTTTTCTTAAAATCCCTAATGCATTAGTTAAATCATCTGAGTTTTTTAAAAAGCATGAAGGAAATAAAAATATGCCAAGATATTTCACCAAGGTACAATGGGTGGCAGAGTATTTTAAATGATCCTTCCACATCCTTCCAGTTAAGCCAGTACACAGAAAAACTGCTTAAAAACAATTTCTCCTACAGGATAGGCTCCCAACTTGGACTTTAACTCCTTCCTGATTTTTATCATTATGGTTACTGTGAAAATGTATCCAGTCATCTAAAAGTTCAGCCCACACAGCTCAATTTAAATGTAACATGATCAGCTATGTTGTTAAGTTAAATCGGTAATGTTAAACATGAACACGATATTTTGAAAAATATCAGTTAAGGGCCAATTATTATTAACTGATGATAAAAGATTTAGAGGTGGGATAGAAGTTTGAAAGAAATGGATATATTGGGCAGTAATTGTCTCAGAACTGTTATGAAATAAGCTTTAAAGATTCCGAGTTTGGATTAGGCGTTTACCCCAGGTGTTCCCTCATCCCACTGTCCAGAGGAGGAATCACACAAACGGTAAAGCCATAGCTAAAACCAGAGGAGCAGGGAAAAATCACAATCCCCTGAGGCTACTTTAGCATCTATAGTAACTCTGTCTACCACTGGCCAGAAAAGACATGGGTAGGAAGAAGAGCGTTTGTGAACACGTTATACACTCTTCACTGGAAAATCTTACAAAGGGCTGGTGAGATGGCTCAGAGGTTAAAGGTGGTGCTGCCAAGCCTGATGATCTGGTTTGATTCCTGGAACCTACGTGGCAGGTGAGAATGGACTCCCACGAGTTCTCCTTGGAAATATCAAAAAAAAAAAAAAATTAAGAAGTGCTACAATTATGACACCTAATTTTTTAATGAGGAAAAAAAAAGCAGCTTGGAAAAAATTTGTGGAAGGATGCTTTTCCGTTGGAGGCATGACAGGCTGTGACAGGAAGCTCAGGTAATCAGAGGAGATGGGGGTAAAGGAAGGTCAGCAGGGGCTGGCTGCAGGAGCTGCTGCTGAAACTTTGTGAATAAGCAGGATCTTCTCCTGGCCATGTAGCTGGTAGCTCCATAAAACATGCCTGGCGTGGGTGGTACATAACTGGAGTTGTAAGTTTTCATTTTGGATATAAAAAGAACATGGATGCTCTTTGGGACTTTTTTGGTTAAAATAGAGAAAAACCACCCCACATGGCTGACATGCAGCTACTTTTTAAAACAGAAACGCCAATAAGGTATCTCTGGTTTCTTTTTCTTTTTCTAATAGATGCAATCACTAAACTTTTATAAATGATGTTCTCAGAACTGTTTTTCAGTGGGAGGAGATTGAGATGGGCCTCAACAGATGGCAACGGCACTCACACTGCTTTGATCGTACCACGGTGAGAAAGCAAAAGTCATTCAGTAGAAACCATAGTTCAAATTTTGAATTTCGATCTTTTTGCAGGTTAGTAACAAGCCAGAAAATAATATGTTTCAATGCTGGACAACAAGCTATGGTGCTCAATCAGCAGCAGACATGGGAGGGAAATAGCACCCTTCCGTGTCCTGTGCTGTTAAATTAATGTGTGGTGGGCTGAGTGTATTGAACGCAGTTTCAACTTATGACAGGTTTATAAGTGCATAATTACCTTGTAGCTCAAGGAATGTGTATATAACCACTATCAGCAGTGGATATCGATAACAGGCATGATTACAGGTGATTTAAATATTTTTCTATATGTTTTCCAAATATTTCAAATTTGGTCATATGGTTACAGTCAAGGAAAAAAAAAAAAAAAATCCTTGCTGCAGATGCAGCAAAATCTGTTTCATTTCCTTCCTTCCCTAACATCAATAAGCTAGAGAAGGGAAGGGAAGCAAATTACTGTCATAACTTTTCAGTTTATGCAACTAAAATCAATTCAACTTCCTTAGTAATGGATGAATTTTCTGCCTTCTTAAAATTTTGAACAATACAAACACCTTAAACATCTCAAAAATACCTTAACAAAACCAATGTAAATATTGTAAAGGCCAAGGTTAGAAACATCATACCTGTTAGGAAACTCAGAGTCACTGCTTTTGAGGTCTGCTGCTGAGTAGTGGGCTGTTTTCAATTTTTTATGTGGTGAACTAAATAATGTAGACTGAGAGCAAACTGTAGGGGATATGTTTACTTTGTTGGATAGTGGAGTTGTAAAGTTTGTTCTCTCGTTGGAGGGGTGTTGTGTATCACTAAAACACAGGTTTGTAGGAAGAAAGTTTTGAAATTCCCCATCTATTATCTGGTTTTGGCTTTTTTTTCTGGCCAAAGTACTAGATTTATTGCTGAAATCAGTCAAGACCAGGGTCGTATTTCCAAACACAGTTTTTCTGTTGATCTTCACTTCTGTGTGTATGTTCTCAAAGTTATTACAAGGGTATTTCACTAAGTTGTAAAGGGCAATAGAATTTTCTTCACTCTTGGGCACCGAATCTGAAAAAAGAGATAAATAATTCTACAGTATTCCTAAAAATATACTATATTGACTATTTTTGAAATATATTTGATTAAAAAATTATTTCAGTTTGTTACAGTGAGCAAATATATATAACCATGATGCAAAGCTAACTTGGATATGGTATAATGAATAATCTTATGGTTTGGAAATAAAGTTATTATTTAAAATGTATAATGTTAACAACCTATAGGCACCCAAAGCTGGAGTTAACAAAGACTTATATTTGCATTGTATTATGTTTAAGCACTTAAACATTATTTAGCTATCAGTTCTGTTAATATTAGGCAAGGCATTAGGCAGTGGTAATTAAGAACTATGTCCCATAAAATCTCAGGTCAGCAGTTAGAGACAATGTGTGGGCTACCAGGAATATTTCTATGAATGACAGCACCAAATGAAAAGCTTAATTAATACAAGAAGAATTACAAACACTTGATGTTGATTAGAAGATAACATTTTAACAAATATCCTAGGATTTTGGAACCAGTATCACAATACAATCTAAATTAAAGTGAAAACATATGTCTTCATACGCAAAAATTAATCAGAAAATAGTTAATGCAATGTGTAAAGCCATTTTGTAATGTTGAACTAAATGTGGAAAACTAAGGCTGGTTTTCCAAGAGCGTTCTCTTTTGAGTGATACTTTAGAAGGAGGTGCAGTCACTCGGGCTACTTAGCAAAGCTGTTGGAGGGATGATGCCCGCCTTGTAGGCCCAAGGAACAAAACACAATACGGCAGCTAACACAATGTAGGGGTCCTGAAGTCAAGAATGAACTTTCTCATCTCTAATTGGAGAAAGAAATAACACTTGGAGAACACAATAGAAGCTGCATCAATGAGATGGCTCTTAATCACAGGTTTCCTCCGAGGTTTTACATTCTCTGAACGCACAAGATTGTGAGTTATAAAGAGTTATTTTGAAGGATTTCAATGAAATCAGTACAATTGTCTGGGTAAAGATTTTAATAACAAGGGGTAGGAAGGATAAAGAAGAAAAAAAATTCAGCATTTTTCAATTCCACCTGCAAAGATATTCTTACAGAAATCCTCCCTTTCAATTTATGAAATGCTTGGACTGAATAACAAACTCGAAAGTTGCTGAAATCTGCATAAAACAAAGCTTTATTGAATAATTCATTAGAAACAGTAGAGAACAGATGTGATCATCTCAGTTTTTTGAGATACAAAGGCACATACTTTTTTAGCAAAAGCATATTTTCCCTCCCTGCTTTCTTTCTCTTTCTTTTTTTTTTTTATATTATTCAACACATTATCAGCCTATTTTACATGAAAAGGCTGGCAAGTCCTTTCAACATTTGAGAAAGAAAGCATTTTATTTGGTTATGGACTATCAGGATGGAGTAAGATATATACCTGACTGTATAACAAATCTTTTTGGAAACTTAATTAACTCAAAATGAAATTTCAATCTTACCAGCAGGCCTTGAGGTCAAGCAAGCATCACACGCCTTGGCAGAGGGTCTGTTTATTAGGGTGCAGACCACACAGGTCCACTGCTCCTCAGATTTCTGAGCCACTAAATCCATATGGTGTTCTCCTCTTCCAGATGTGCAGCTGATGATTGTATTTCTAGTTGGCAATTTGCTGTAAAATAATTTTTTAAAATTAATCATTTATATTTGTACTACTTAATTCTTAAGCATTTGGGATATTTTAGAAACTATTATAAAACATTAATATTATTTAGAAGTTATCACTGATAGGTCTCATAACTATATCCTAAGCCCTACTAATTGCTTTTAAACTCAGAAATACGACTCTAAAAGAGCTGTGTGTTTTCTAAACCAACTCAAAACATCTGCTATAACTAGTAGGAAGTATTTTCCAAGTAATAATATTTTAAATAATTCACTTCAAAGTAAAGCCAAAATATTTATTCAACTAAACTAGAAAAAACAAATGCTGAAAATAGAACACTGAAAATAAAATGAGAGTTTTTACTTGACTTCTTGTACTCTGGAGAGAAACTTCTAGATTAGATTTTGGTTTTGTTTTTTAAGACAGGGATTCACTGTGTAACTCTGGCTGGCTTGGAACTGACTATGTTGACCAGACTGGCCTTGAACTTACAGATATCTGCCTGCCTCTACCTCCCAAGTCCCATTTAAAATTCTAGATTTTTAAAGATATTTGCTAAGCATGCATTAATTACTTAATCTTTAATGATGAAAAAAGATTATCTTTCCATCAGCTCTCTTCTCAGAAGACTATTTCAAATCTACTACATAATCATGAATAGATATATAGTTATTAGGTTAAGAAGCAAACAATAAAACTAATCTTGGAAACTAATCTTTTTTTCTTTTTTTTTAGTGACCAACGTAAACCATGATTCTCCACATGAACTCCATTGACCATTTGACTGTGTTAACAACACAGTGCTTTTCTAAAGCTCTGATACAGTTCTAGTGTCTGGTATTTGTGAAACTAAGAGGTATCACGGTGGTGTGACAGGTTCTGAAAGTTAACACTGAGAAAAGCTCTACTAGGAAAGGCTGCAGATCTTAAAGTTCAGATTCTTAAACTTTCTTTGACTTTCAGAGGTAGCCTTGACTTCAGTGACATCTTGCTCCTTATAGACAAATACACCACTCTTTACATTCAGGCTTGTTTGGTAAAATAATGAATAGCACAAGGAAATCTGAAAGTAAGATACATCTCATTAAGATTACTTTATCTTTACCTACCTTGACATTTAATGCTTAGCATGTCACCTGCATTTGGAATCTAACCTACAGCATTTGTTTAACTGACCTAATTTCTAGTCACTACAACTTACTCTGAAAGGCAACAGACTGCATTGCATTTATTCATAGTTAACACAATTTAAATGACCTTCAGGTTTTCAGTATGCTGCCATGCTTTATTACTGTCATTTTTTTCTATCCTAATCATAGGGGGTGTTTATTATTTTATATGGAGACTTTGGAAGCTCCTGCCAACCCCCAAATTCTCTGTATGGATATGTAACAGGAATCTTACACTCAACATGCTGTAGTAGGCTGAAGAATACCTCCAAAGATAACAAACAGGTACATTCTCAGTAAACAAGTGTTGCTTTATAAAGTCTTTGCAGATGCAATTAAAGCTATTGGCCCAGAGATCATCTCCATGGTCCTTTAACTCTAGTCACAAAAAGAGAGAAATGAAGGCAGACTTGATATGCACAGAAAAGGAGATGGTACTATTAAAACAGAGGCAGAGACTGCTATGATGCCGCCACATTGGGGAATGCTGGCAGCCACCCAAAGGTCAAAGAAACAAGGGACAGCTTGTCCCTTGGGACCTTCAGAGGGAGTACAGTCCAGCCTACACTTTGTGTCCAATGTCCAATGAAATTACTATTAAGCTTCCAGCATCCCAACTTGAGTGAATAAAGTTTTGATGCTTTATGCTAAATGTGTGGTAACTTTTTGTAAGAGTCACAGGACACTAGTGCAAATAAAATTCATGATCTTCCAACCTGTAATTCTACTATTCTGTCTCAAAAAAGGGCATTGTCTCAATTGATCAAGAAAAACAGCCAGACTTCAACCTATCATTTCCTCACATCTCACATTCAGTCCATCAGCAAATCCTACAGAGTCAGCAGCGAAGTCAAATGTACATTCTCTTAACATTCTGTGGCTTGGTATGTTCTTCATCAAGGTCCATCGTGGGGAATGAGAAAGGAATCACTCTACTATTCCTTTGGTTATAGGACCCTTTTAGATTATGTTTTAAACACCACAATGATGCAAGAAAACTGTCTTCCCCTCAAAAGCTTATTAGATCTACCAAGTTTAAGTCATCAGAGAGTTTCTTCCTATTTTCTAAGTACCCTCAAGTTGTTCCATCCCTCGGATATCTCCATAGGTATAAGAACTCGCTTACAAACAGCACTAAATTTCATTAATCTGCAACCAACTATCAGTACATTTCCACACAACATAGCTTTAAGATATGAGTATGTCTTTATTCAGGAATAAAGTAGCTGAACTCTCACATTTCTGGGATTCTCCAAATATTCTAAGTGTTTTCTTGTGCACATGCCCACATGCCAGTTGGTTTCTTTTCTCAGAAATCCTTTACCTTTTTTCTTTGATTAATTTGTGTTTCTTTCCTCATTAAACTTAGAAAGTAGAAATTAGCAGACAGATCTGGTTCCTCCTCCAGACCTCCCTTGCTAGTCACATAAGCACATCCCTTTGTAGCACATCCATCACTGCTTTAACCATGCATTTACTCCTTTACTTCCCACATTAGAAGCTGGGAACTTTGAGGGGCTGTATTATATTTTGCCTGAATTCCTACTACCTGACATATAATGGACTCTAATAAAGAAAGAAAATAATACATTATAAAAATTATAAAAAATTTTATAGAATGGACTCAGTTTTCTCTAATGAAGTAATATTCATGCAATATGAAGGCATACTAGCCTATATATAATTAAGAGTCAGTGACAAATTATATAGGTATTTAAAATGCACTGTGATCAATAACAACCAGAAAATTTGGGCAGGATTAATAATAGAGTTAATGGAGTTAACTGAGATCTTAGTGTGTGAAGGAACATCTGGATCATTTCTGTTGGGCTTTGCAAACTTCTTTAAGGTAACTTGAAATGACTTGATTGACTGATTGATTGATTGATTGAGGTGTTCCCTGGCACCTGGGGATTGGGTATAGCACCTCTGTCACACTAGGCAAGTACTCTACCACCAAGCTCTATCTTCAACTCTTGAAATGACTTTAAATTAAAATAAGAAATTTGAGATAATATAAAAAGTGCTCAGGTATTTAGCCAAAATTAGCCAAAATTAATGGAATATACTTAATCGTAGAAACCTGGGAATAGGGCAAATAATATTGTCTTTTCTCTTGCAGTGTATAGCTGATTTTCCAAACAAAGTCTTAAACTGAGTATCAATATATAAAACAGGGTTAGGATGTGATGGAAGAGGTATTAGAAGACCCAGTATACTTCTAGAACAGCAGGACCTTCCCTAACCCACCAGTAAGTCTAAATCTCTTTAAGGAATCCTGTGAGTCTTTAAAACCTCATTTCAAAAGATTCTGGAATTAACAATGGAAATATAAGCCTCTAATATTCATGGCCTCTTGTAGTATTTCATATGCATCCTGTTTGTACTGGTAATTTTAATGACTGTGCCATATACTGCTATGAAGGTATTTATATGATTAACTTTTCTCCTATGGCCATTTACCAAGGTGAGTGTACACTGGCAAAATATATAATCAGATTTTTATAGACTTGGACAGTTTCTCTGAACTGTCCATAATTCTGGAAAACAGAAGGCATCACTGTTGCCAACCAGTCAGGTCAGGTGATTAATGAAGTTTGTGTCCAAGTTCATTTTACAGAGGGTTCCCAAACCTATCCTGTGGCTATTTCCCCAGGTCGGGAATGCATAATTTTGAAAAGACAAAGGAACTGGCAGAATTATCACAAACATGTTTAGTAAATGCTTTGTTGGTTCATTAATATAATGTACATTCTAGAAGAATCATGTTGATTTTTACAATATTTCTAAATGAAAAAAACTTTTGATGATATTTACATTTCCCCAATTGTTGACTCATCCTGCTACTCAATTAAAAACCAAACTAAAACTAAGGGCTGGGTATCATCACTGAAGTGTGAGGTCTTCTCCTGAATTCAGAAGTGTCCCAGGAGCCACCAGCTTCAGCTCCCTCTGCTTCTTGACTGTTTTTTTTTTTTTTTTTCCAAAGGTTCCAACAGCTTTGAATTCTGTTCTCTTATGAGTAGCTTGGCAGTTCTTCAGTTGCATATACTGATTATAAGTCATTTAGTTAGATAATTTAAATTAGGTACCTTACCAGATGTCAACATGTTGAGGGTTTTCTTTCTGACAATGAGGACAGAAATATGTCATCCTGCTGTTCTCCCCTAAGCGACACATGGTAATTTTGCAGTGGCACTGACCACAATTAGGACGCTTATAAACCTTATAGTGCTTAGAGATGGCAGATCCTGTTTTATGGCACTGAAAAAAAAAATGTTACATTCAAAACTGTTGCTAAGGGAGACAAAGAAATTGTCTGAAAAATCAAGGCATCTCTGAAAATAATATCAAAATTTGCACATATTTCCATATAAAATTTTTTCAATGAAGAAAAAGGTATTGACAAAATTCAGTAATGTCTATCAAATAAGATTTGTATGAAATAATTGAGTCATTACATTTTAACTTATTAGTATTCAAAATTGTTCACTACTTTATCATCTTATCTAAATGATATATAAAAGTTCTATCTCTTAAAATGTCTTTTATGCTTTTAAGGCTTTCTTAATTAAACATAATTACATGGGTATAAGAAAAGGGGCAGATTAGCTTCAAATCTGATTGCTTTTAGAATGAGGAAGTTGCTCATTCACTTTCAACAGCCAAAAACCTTATTTCTAGGGGATAAAATTTAACGAGAGTATTTTCTTTGTTGACCTGATAAAGGCTTTTTTTTTTTTTTTTAAACTGTAGAGCTTCCCTAGAAAAGAAAAATCCAAATACCATTCTAACAGAGACTATGTTCCATTTTAGTCTAAATTCTATTTCAAAAGACATTTTGATTTTTCAGGCGCAGTTTTATTCTACTCACATACGTCTGATGCACCTACAAGGAAAATGTTTCTGGTTTACATCAGTAGGGTGGAAATGTAAAACCTCACAAACATGACTAAGTACAGGCTGAAAATTACACCAACACTTTATATTAATTTAAGCAGAGTAGTGAAATGCCCAGTTCTATCTCAGCAGAATGGACTGTTTTCTACATTCATTCCTTCTCTGCAAGAATAAATAGGCATAGATAATTGTAAAAGAGCCATTACTCAAGGCAGGTCCATACAGTAAGAGGTCTGTTACCACTTTAGGTCATTTAATGAAGACTGGTATAATACCTTCCTCTCCGAACACAGTAAAATTGCAATTTTGAATATACAAAGAAGACTATGGTGGAAAAACAGACTATCATCCATGATTAGAAGATGAAATGTATGTACTGAAGACTGTATGAGCATTATACAACTTTCAAAATTTATACGTTAGCAAGCACTTATTTCATCCTTAGAACAGGTCATATAGTACACAGTGAACTATTATCACACATTACAAATGGAGAAACTAAATATAAAATTATCTAAATAACTGAAGCCAAAGATAACGACTGGCAAAACTTGATT